TTTTTTTTTTTTTTTTTTTTTTTTTTTTCTTAGTTTAATCGATAGGTTCGTTTTAGATTTTTTATTTTTTTTTATTTTCTTTGTTTTCTGTAAGATACCCCCCCCCATTTTACGGGTCGTAGTTGTTGCGCCCGTTCGTTTTAAGAACGGGTTGCAGCACTCACGGGCGCCCGAACCTGGCGCAGTTTGCGTCCGGGTACGGGCGCGCAGGGCAGGGGGGGAGAATAGTCTGTTGAGCGTGACTCTAGTTCGACTTGTGAAATGAATGTAGGGAGGGGGAGAGAGCTCGTTCGTTTTTTTTGACGAGCAACCCCTTTTGGAGGGGAAGTGAAAGGGAAAAAAAAAAGAAAAAAGGAAGGGGGCAATAGCCACGAATGTGGCCGCGATCAAGCCCCCGATTCAGGTCAGTTGGTCTCAGTATGACCACTTAGGCTAGGCCTGTAACTGAAGGGCTATCTGGAAAGTGGCTGAGTTCGGCCACTTCTTTGATGTACGTGCACTAGAGGACGTGCCAGGTACATGAGAGAAGAAAGAGAAAAAAAAGGAAGGGGAGAAAAAAGTAACGGTCGCGAATGTGGCCCCAGAAATCTCTAGGGGCTGATGGGACTGCGCCTGTTCATTTTGAACAGGCTGTAGAGAATGGATAGGTACAGCCTTTTCCAGGAGCACCTGGCCTGGGAAAATGGCCAGGTACTTCTGGGATTGAAGACCTTGGTTCTCCTAAGGGAGAACCAAGGCACATGGCTCCTGGCCATCGATTTGATCGAGGGCCAGAAGGGTTACCCTGATGAGGAGGCTACTTGGGAGCCCCTCGAGCACTTGCAGCACGCTCGTATGTTGGTGCGTGCCTATGACCGTGCTCGTCGTGCTGGGTTCACTGCTCCTCTTCAGCCCACTGACCCTCCTTCTCCCCCGCCTGAGGAGACCGTTGAAGTCGAGCCTGCTCCATCTGAGGCAGACCTTCAGCAGCAGCCGGATGCTTCTGAGCGTTGACAGCAAACTCGTTGTCGTCCTGCTCGATACGACGATTGACTCCGACTTATCTTCCCACGTCTTTGACTTCTCAATACTCCATCCACACCAGTTTTGCTACTTCAACTCGTCAACGTTGCGGCTCTTCCTCGATGGCATTCCGGACTTCTCATCATGGACGTCATCGGCAGCTTCATGGACTTCATCACGATCAACTCTGCCTACTTCAGCCGTCGTCACTCTCTTACCGCTTTACCCTATACAGTACCTTTGTTGTGTCGCATAATGGTCTACCTTTAGCCGGGTTCCTCTGAGTTGGGCTCTCCCTCAGCTTGGTATACGCATAGGCATCGGGACCGTAGCGTTGCCCTGGCTTCCCATCTTAAGGATCTAGCTCCGACTTCCCTGACTTTAAGTGTCATTTGCATGATTCCCTTACCCATCACCTTTCTACCCTCTGTCGGCCCTCACGCCCTAGCTAGGCTGCCTTGCATGCTTCATCTAGGTGCGCCCAGTATACCAGGCTCCTTTGTTCCCTTGCATGGTCGAACCTCCATAGCGGTCACCCCTTTTGTCGAGCATTACCCGCCCTGATGGTCTATCTGTTAGGGTCATTGGTTCTGTTCGCTCCCAGTCCCCTACCCTCATTGAGCCTGATGACATGTGCTCCCCCTATCACTATGTGTGGATGCCCTTAGGAGTTATCGCCCCCTAGGCTGCATTCGCCACCCTCAGAGACCATCCCACCCTTTGGTTTGCGACACACTTGTGATGTGACATATGGTTGACTTGTTGTTGCTTGTTGCTTTCAGACTGAGGCTACTGCCTCTGACATTTCTAAGATTTAGTTGTTCTGTTTTTGCTGTTCTTAGGACTTATACACTAGTCAGTTGTTTTCAGACTGAGGGTACTGCCTCCAACATTCTAGGATCTAGTTGTCATTACTTTCCGTTTTCCTAGGACATGTATGCTAGTTAGTTGTTTTTGCTTTCCTATGACATCTATGCTAGTTAGTTGTTTTTGCTTTCACTTAGGCTGTTAGTTATGACATTGTTGTTTTGTGACATTTTCTATCCTAGGTTGCATTGTATGGACTCGACATAGAGCTTGCTCCGCATCCTAGACTACTCAGGTTTTATTTTCCTTGCTAGAGTTCCGCTTCTCGGCGAAAGTGTGCTTATATTTAGGCGATCCATCACAGGCCGAGGATCGTGTAGCGGACCTCTGGTTGGCCTGTGAGACCAGCCCCTTGGCCTGTTCTCACAAGCCTACGTTGTATTCGGGGCAGTCCAGTCCAGGCCGGTACCTCTGTCGGTACCAGCCAGTCCAGTCCAGTCCCATCAGTCCGCTGGGGTATACCCTAGCAGTTGTCTGTTTTTCTCATCATTCTACTTTCGCACAGTTTGGAGTACGTGCGTTGGAGTCCGGCGTGCGAGATGGGTTGTGCCATCTCGCTCCCCCTTCTCCCTCCATCTCCATCTCTATCTCTGGCGGAGCACCACACCTGGTGGGTCCGCCATAGGAGAGGAGGTTCTGACAACTCAAGAAATGCATTTTCGTGAGTGTGTTTCATGAGGTAGTGGAGCGACGACGGATTCTCTCCATTTTCGTGAGTAGAGACTGACAGCTCAATAACCCGAATTCCAAACTTGGCGTATAGAGTAAGGGTCTCGTTAGGCACTCCTAAAAAAATCCTAAATTTTTATGACGAGTCCTAAAGGTTTTTTAGGATTTCGTGCGGCGTCGTCACACGCAATCCTAAAAATCGTTTTTTAGGATTCGTTCTAAAAGGTGTCCCACGGCCTCTTTTTATATGTGTATACGCAACCACGTCCCCGATGTTCGTCCATTCCTGGTTGGTGTCCGTGGTACACACTGCGGTGGGTCGTTGGAGAGTAGGGCTCTTCGGTGAAAAACGCGCGTAGCCGAGGGACTTCGGAAATTCAAATTTGAAATTTGGCGGACGTAGGGTGGCGGGGCGGAGGACGGGCAGGCGACGTAGAAAAGACGGCGGTGGTGAACCCTTTGGCGTGGGTATACATCTTTGGAGTCTGCGCGACTGGTGACCAGCGGGGGCATGTTCGGCGGCGACGCATCTTCACCTCCGACGCGCGTACTGTCTTCCACCATCGTAGAGCAGCGGGCGCATCTTCACCTCCGGCGTGCGTACTGTAGTCCATCATCCTAGAGCAGCGGGCGCTTGTTGACCTCCGACGTGCGTACTGTCTTCCACCGTCGTAGAGCAGCGGTCGCATCTTCGGGTACGGCGTGCGCACTCTCCTGTCGCAGTGTGGAGCAGCGGGCGCGTCTTGCTCTCCGGCGTGTGTTCTCCTGTGGCAGCGCTGTTCGTCAGCGGGCGCGTCTTCGGCTCCGACGTGCATTGTATCCTATGCCAGCGGGAGCACCGGGCGCATCTTCGACTCCGGCGTGCGTGGTCTACGACGGCGTGCGAGGAAGACGACAATCAGGAACACGACGACAACGACTACCAGCAGAGGCAATCTCCTCTGCACGTCAGCCATGAATTCACCTCGGGAGCCACCCTCGCACGCGACTACTGCAGAAGAGTGTTCCGACATGCCGGGGGATAGGGCCGCTCGACCTTCATATGCCGACAACCAGCAGAGAAGACGACAAAGGTGCCTGCCTTCGATTTGAAATTCGATCATTGGCGCCCACGCACTGTGACTCCGTATATCGTCCTGCGCACGTCGTCGTCCTCCTCCGCTTCCCGCAGCCGAGCCAATGGTCCACCATGGACGCCCGCCCGCCCCGCTCGGCCCCTCCCTGCGCTCCACCCCCTCTGCCAACGGCTACCGTTCGTGGCTGTTGCCCGCGTCGGGCCGCAGAAAACCTCCAATGTCCGACCACCGACTCGACGGACCGCTTCTGGACCACAACGACTGTCGACGGTGCCATGCGCGCGCCGCAACGACTCCGTGAAAGGCGTGAATCCTAAATTTTTCAGTAGGTAGGGGGCTACTGGAAAATTTAGGACTGGAAAATTTAGGACGATTTCGCCTGGGGAATCCTAAATCCTTTAGGACTCGTCCTAAAGACGTTTTCACATTTTCGATCTCGAAATTGGATTTAGGATTGAGTGCAAGGAAGACGCAATCCTAAAAACAGACACTTTTAGGAGTGTCTAACGAGACCCTAAGTGCAGCGGTGCCGGGCTCAAGAAAAGGCCGGTTTCTAGAGTAGTGGAGCGATTTGATGATGTTCTCCGGTTGGTCTGTCCTTTTCTGTGTTGTTTGTCTTTTCATAGTAGTACAGTAAAACAAAACATCACGGCCGGCGCTTACCCTCACCCTTGCCTCGGCGTCCATGTAAGCGTCTGTACAGTGAATGTTTGGCCGCACAGCAGCCGTGGTGGCCACGAGGCGCCCACCGCGCAACCCGTGTTCGCTGGAGGGCTGTGTGTACACCCGATCTCTCAGCTGAGCTGGAGCACGGCTGTTTTCTTTTTTTTGGCCCTGAGAATTGACCTGGAGATGGATGCGGCGGCGGAGCAGGAGCAGGAACGCTCCTGGAAGATTCCTGTCAAGGTGGTGGGCTCTCTACCACGTATCAGTGCCAGGGATCTCAGTTACGAAGAATTCTGGTCCCAGTTTCTGGTCCCAAATAAACCGGTCTTGATACTTGGCGCGACGGACGGCTGGCGAGCGTCCCGTGATTGGCTGGCAAAGGACGGTTCCCCGAACCTTCCTTTCATCAAGAAGGAATTTGGCAATTCACGAGTGCAAGTGGCAGATTGCGATGTGCGCGAGTACAGTGATCAGAAACGAAAATCGTCAACTGTAGGGGAATTTGTAGATTACTGGCTCAAACTAAGGGAGCAAAGGCAAGAGAGGAGAGTCAAAGAAAAGCAGGGACAGGGTACATCTAGTATTTGTTCTTCTTCCTCTTCTTCCTCTTCCTCCTCGTCTACATCCTCCATCTCTTCTTCCCCCTCGTCTATCTTCTCCACCTCTTCCTCCTCCTTCTCTTCGCCCTTGTCTTCCGCTTCCGACGAGTCTTCAATAAGCAGAAGCCATGGAGGAATCGGCACCATCTTCATTTCCACCACCTGTTCGTACTCTTCCCCGAGCTCAATATGCTCCACTTCTTCCATGGCCTACTCCTCTTCTTTAACCCTTCCCTGCTCTCCATCGTCTTCCACCTCCTTCACCAACTTCTCCTCCTGCTCGGACACAATGGCTTCTTTTCCTTTCCCTTGTTCAACCTCCGCTTCTTCCTCCCACTTCTCTTCCTCCTCCTCCTCCTCCTCCTCTCTGCCCAGCACCTCGTCCTTCGCCTCCATCTCATTCCTCGCATCCTCGTCTTCCTCCTCGTCCTGTTCCTGTCCCTGTTCCTCTTCTTCGTCTTCTTCCTCCTCCTCCTCTTCTGTGTTTTATCTCAAGGATTGGCACTTTGTGTCAGAGTATCCTGAGTACAGAGCATACACAACACCGGTGTTTTTCAGAGAGGATTGGCTGAATAGCTATCTCGATCGTTATCAGCTGCTTCATGACAATGGCGACGGCGGCGAGACGACAGCTGAGTGCCACGTGGAAGATGATCATCGCCCTCCTCTTTGTGACTCGTTCGAGACTTCAGATTACCGCTTCGTTTACATGGGGCCTCAGGGGTCGTGGACCCCCCTTCACGCCGACGTTCTCCGATCGTACAGTTGGTCGGCCAATGTGTGTGGTAGGAAGCTATGGCTGTTTCTAGATCCTTCTCAGACGCATCTGCTGCAAAACCGTTGGGGTCGGAACACCCTCTACGATATCGCTACAGATCCCGACCTTCTTGTCGACTCTCATTATCGGCCGCTTTATCCAGGCTTCTCCCAGACTAGATGGCTGCAATGTGTTCAGGACGAAGGGTCTGCTATTTTTGTCCCCAGCGGTTGGTTCCATCAAGTTTTCAACCTCGAAGACACAATCTCCATCAATCATAACTGGATAAATGCGTGCAATCTACATTGGACATGGCGTTTATTGAGAGATGACTACAAGGAGACGGTTGAGTCGATAGAGGATATTCGGGAAATTGCCGGCAACGAGTTCGAATCCCTCTGCCAGCGCAATTTGGCGGCAAACTCGGGGATGAATTTCGCCGACTTCTTCGTCTTCGTGCGGACTTGTGTTGCGGGCGAGATCTCTGCAGTTCTGTCCTGCATAACCAGGATGATAATGGAGGGCGGCGGGCGGCGCGAGAAGAAGTTCGGAGAGGAAGTGCCGAGGGAGCAGGAGAAGGAGCCGCTGGAGATCATGATGAAGATGGGCATGGAGGAGGAGGGGAGGGAGGTAGTAGTAGCGGCGAAGGATGTCGAAGGGGTTTTTCAAAATAAGAAGGAAACGAACGATAGAGGGGTAGTAGATCAAACGAAGGAGAAAGGACATAATGATCATATCGTAATGATCTCAGAAGGTGGGGTGAAGGAGAAAGCCGAGAAGGAGGAGGTGTTGGATACTCAGCAGCAGGAAGGCGTGGAGGAGGAGAGGAGGGAGGTGGCGAGGGAGGTTGAGGAGGAGGGGGGGCATATTAGAGTGCAACAACGCCCGAGGGACACCTGCGAAGGCAGCCGTGACTGGCTTGAAGCTGCTACTGACAAGAAGGACGAAAGAAGTGGAAGAGTCAGTCGTCGGATGAAGAATGGATATCCAGCAAGTCTGAACAGATTGACAGAATCTGATTGTTGTGTGCAGCACCTTGCGAGGTCGGAGTGTGGAGGAGGAAGACCGCCGGACACTCCTACCGGGGATAGTTGTGCGTCGGGATCGGTCCCAGAGGAGAGGAGGATGGGGGACTGTCCTGGATCTGGATCTGAGTCCCTATCTTCTTTCTCCTTGGAAGATCAAATGGTGGAACTCCGCCGGCTGGTTTTTAACTTGTTGAGAGGGCGATCTGTGCTGCGGGATATTGACCGTACTGGCGTCTTAGAAAACGCTAAGGGCAAGGGCATGGAGGGTGCCAAGGTGGAATCGGGTTCGGCCTCGCGATTGGCTGATGATGATAATGATTATGATGGACCCATGACTCTCTTGGCCCGGCTGCAACGAGAAGTAGAGGAGGAAGAGGAGAAGGGGAAGGAGGAGGAGGAATGTGTCGAGGGTGAAGGGAGAACTCAGCGCCTCATGGAGAATAATTGCTGGCGTCAGCATGCTGAGCAGCCGGCTCTTGACCCTAAGAAACTGCTTTCCGACGCCGAGACGTTTTGCATGCTTCGAAAAGTGGTTGATAGCGTTGGAGAACGGGGTCTAGGATTGGGTATTGGACCTGCCGACGTGGTGGCTTCTTTGGATAAGGTGTTGAGAATGCTGCCACGTTGGACTTGTTTGGCAGATATGCAGATTCCATCAGTCCCACCCGCAGTGGGACTGATGTCACGGTAGGAAACGAGTACATTGCAACATGCCTTTCAGCTTGTTCTCTTCTAAACCACCACTGTTGTTGGGCTGAACCTTTGCCGCAGGGGTGGTTTACTTTTTTTTTTTTTTTTAACATGAAACTCAGCTCATTTGATTTGGCACACCAAAATAGAGGCCGTGAATCCTCCATAACCAACCCGGAAAAAGGAACAGAAAACCAAGATGTGGGTGTCGGGGGGAAAAAGCCAGAGACAGAAATGGCCAATCCAGGGTGGTTTACTGTGGCTGAAGCTTTCTTTTTCTTTTCAATTTTTAACCACCACCACCTCTCCCAGGTTTTTTTCTTTGTCTGAGCTGCATGCACGCCGCATCTTCAGGGGATTGGGGCCCAAGTCTCACTTATCTGAATCCTCGATTGCTGACCGTAGATTAGACAGCCACGTGGTACTTCTGTAATGAACCCGGACTGGAAGATACTCAGTCGTACTTCTGTAATGAACCCGGACTGGAAGATACTCGTCAGACGTCGAAGTACAAGTTGACTCTGATCTGCACAATGTCTCCGATAATCGTGAAAGTGATATCTGATACAGTGTCTCTGACTCTGATCTGCACAATGTCTCTGATAATCGTAAAAGTGATATCTGATACAGTGTCTCGCTACCAACAGACAAAGAGAGTGGAGGAGGAATAGACCGATAAGAGGGTGGAAGAGATAATCAATGACCACCGAAGAGTAGCCCAAACATTCCCACTCCTCCAGGCTTCCCCTTGAAATGCGCTGTTGAGCGCCTGGGACTGAAACTCTTACTGATAACTTGTTGGAATTCAGAAGCTGCGCTACCTGGTCTTCATCTCTCTGACCTCCAGTGTGAACTTTGTGTGATCTCGTGCATGCATGTGGTGTGATTGTGTGCGCTCGCTGGTGTTGAACTAAGAGGCTCGGTGCAAGCGAAGTGGTTGGTCAAAGCAGGGGCCGACGTGGAACAGTCACATTGGATTCCTAGGTGAACAAGCTTACCAGGCACAAGTGATTCTCCATCATGGTGTGAGAATGGAGGCTTTCCAGGCAAACAGACTGAATGCCTATCTGAACCGGAAATGAAATCAACTTTTTTCGGAAAGGTGTGCTGTTTGCTTGGCAGACGTTGAAGCCCAGCTGTTGGCAGACCTAGGATATCTTTTAACTAACCCCTGGAAAGACACTGGAGTAGTGGCACAGAAAAGGTGGAGTTTTCTGGAAAGGCATGCTGTTTCCTTGGAAGAAGTTGAAGCTCGGCGGTTGATGGGCTTAGGGTCTGTGTTAACCACCCCCCGGAAGGGCAATGGAGGTAGGCGGTTGATGGGCTTAGGGTCTGTGTTAACCACCCCCCGGAAGGGCAATGGAGGTAGTGGCAAAGAAAAGGCAGACAGACGGAACTATAAACAGGAGACAATGCATTTGAAAGTGGTCCGATGTGAATTTCTCAGGTTGTCGGCACAGTTGGTAGGTACGCCCTCTTTGAAACACGCAGCAGTGTAAAACTTCCTTCGTTATTGGCATGGTAACCGTCCGGACGTCCAGACCGGGTTCCAGACAGTCCGGAGTCCGGACATAAGTCCTTATGTCCGGATGGAGGCCCCTGGGGCAAAAATCAAGAAAAAAAATGGGGCGGCCCAGGACGTTTATTGGGGCCTGGCCGCCCCTCGAAAAATAATGGGGTGATTTTTCAGTGTCGTTTCACCCCACCGGACAGGGCCTAGAGGTCCGGACACAAGACACTGCAGCTTTTTAGGGTGGCGGGTTCCACACAGGCCCGAGCAATTTCAAAGCGGCCGCTTCGACGTGGCGCCCGCCGCTGCTGCCCGTTGGAGGGAGAGAGAGAGAGAGAGAGAGAGAGAGAGAGAGAGAGAGCACTGACAGTGCTTCCAGTCTGAAGACTCTGACGTTCTGAAAACTGCAAAGTTCAAAATTTTAAGTTATATATGAAGTTATGAACTTAAATTACAAAATCCGAAGTTCAAAGTTCGAAGTTAATCATACGTTTTTCAAAAAACAATTCTCTGTTTCTTTAGTCTTGTGCCTGCTTTGCACTGTTTGCAACTCTGCATGTCTGCTAGTTAAATGTGCTTGTTGATTTGCTGCGAGACACGTGCTCTGCTGCCTGAACTACAAAGTGCAAAGCAGGTAAGTGCCTGCCAACACCCCTGCCCAACCCCC